AGCGCGCTTGTGTGGGCTGCTTCGCTCCTGCCGACGTGCTCGCGCCGGAGAGGCGGGCACCGCTGGCGGCCCGGAGGGACGGCACGCGATCCCTCCCTCCGCCTTCCCCAAACCAATCCCTCCCGAGGTCTCCGAGCTCTGCCAGAGGTTGCTTCGCCGTTCACACCGCTCCGGCAACAAAAAAAACACAACCTCGATATTAGCAAATATTAATTCGTTCTGCGGTTGAGAAACAAAGAGGAGGAGGAGAAACAGGAAGGACACAGGGAGGGAAACACTTATCTGTATAATATCTCATGCAAGCACTAGTACAGAAAATTGTCTTTGACCGCAGTACAAACGTTCTGATGTTTAGACATATTTCTCCTACCTCTTCCTGTAAAATTTGCTGCAGTGCATTGCTAGGAACCACTATAGGTGAAGTTTCTTTTCTCCAGTAATTTGGTGCAGCACTAGATAAGCCGGTAATACAGAGCAAAGCTCAAGGAACAATATTTTTGAGCGGTGCTTGTCCTAGTTAATGTTCAGCCCTGCTGTGCAATGTCAAGCAAACTAATGAATACTGAAGTGGCGGTAAGCAAGAACCTCAGAAGTACTTACCCACTATGAAATTCCTTTCAGAATTCAGTCATAACGTGAATGAAATCTAAAAACGGTCTCCCTGCTTCTTCAGGAAGGCCGCGTAGCTAGGCAGCGCACGCAACGGGAGACAAATGCTTTGCAACCATTTCTTCGTCTTCTAAGGAGCCCGTGCTCCATAAACCAGTGCCTAAAGTAATACTGAACGAGGAGGACCCATGCCTCCTGCCCATACGGCCTAAAACTGTGACCACCTTGAAGAACCAAAGGAGGCTGAACCAGCCCGAGTGCCTGCACACGCATGCTCATGTGCCAACTACGAGGCTTACGAAAACTCCAGCATCTGTCATCAGGCAACACCGCTACGCTCACAGTGTGCAGCGGGAGTTTTGGCAAAGGAAACACTTGACTGATCAAGCTTACTTAGCACTGATACTAAATGAACGGCAGTCACCTTGTGCAAAAAGGACAAAACACTCGTGTATCTGAGGTGGCCGTCCCTTAGCTGACAGGCTGCAGAGCAAGCTCCTGCTACGGCTCCGAAGGAGAAGCCCGGGCTGCAAGGACTCGAAAAAATCCCAGCCTTGGACACGTACACTCCCTAATACAGCTCACCTATTTTCTCGTGTGCCTTACACAAGCCCTTTGGACTTGCATACCTCAGCCTATAAGTTGACATTCGGGGTGAATTTTAACCTTTATATGGCTTCTCAAGCATCTCTTCCCTGTTTATTGCTTACAGTGTGCGCGTTCAATGGCAATAGGTGGATTAATGCCCCTCTAATCTATTTTGCTGGCAGGAAAACACACCTGACAAGGGTAAGTGGTTCTTCACAAAATCCTGCACAGCATGGGGCAGAGCTATCTGTTACTCCTCTTACCCAAGTATAAAATGGGCTTTCTGTACACAAACCAGTTAATAACAGTACTGCTGATAAGCACTTAATGGGTCTGATCCTGAAGGCTTCAAAGGCACTCCCGAGTATTCTCATCTAAGGAATGATTTCCGGATGAATCACGAACACTGCGCCCTGTAACAAGCCATCTAACAGTACACTCGTGCCACTGGACAGACAGCACCAGGAACACAGATGCTATTCCCAGCAAGCTAAGCAACAGGAGCAAAGACACCTTTTCATGTTAATGCATTAATAAAAGTGGGAGAAGCAAAACTGTAACAAATGGAAATGCCTCTAAGTCATGATTATTCATTGCAATTTAGTGCCTGAAAGGTACCAGGAGAATATTCTCACTCTAGAGCTTTCAGACAATGAAAGTCAAGAGGCTGCAGCTTTACCTTGTTCCAACCTCTTCATCTGCTGGATCTGATCAACCGTCTTTTTCAGGATCTTGCATTTGTCGGGTTTGACACTCAGAGTGTCGATGTCCCCAATGTTTGCAGACAGCAGCTCCGCCAGCTCCTCTAAGTATTTGTTCTCCTGTTCCCGTCGCCGCTTTTCATTGCTGTTGGAAAAAAAGAAAGGAAAATTAAAAGTCTTGTTAATGATTTTTCCCCTGCTCAGTCTAGCCACAGCTGTACACTGGACAAATACTTAAGAACACAAGTCCTGGCTAGAGTCTCAACCATGCTATCATCTGAACACCTCCAAGTTACTGGGGAACTGCTTCAAGCTTTTGCTGTTTTTTGACACTCCTTTGCCAAAGATAGAGCATCAAAAGCACCAAAAAACTCTGCCTGAGCATATGAGAAAGACAAACATATACGTTTTCCCTAACACACCTTCCGCTATAGCAACTACTGGATGAAATGAGAATAGCTCAAAATGCCCACAGCTGTACAGGTCAGTCAATCTACAGTGTATTTTTATCAATTTTTTTTCCCCAATAAGGCACATCATCTTTCTTGCAACCTCTGCAGGACACCCAACACACTGTTTTATAAAGTCCTACCTAAAAATGCCTAAAATTACCAGATATCAAGAAGCTGATGAGATGCACGTGGCGTGATGAGATGGCTTTGCCCTCAAAGAGGCCAGAATTCTGCAAGTGAATATGGCCAGAGTTTCCAAAGGTCCTACAAAACCCCTAATGCTCCCCGGGAAGAGACATGCAACAGGAAGAGAATACCCTAGTCACAGGCATGGAGGCAAAAGTCCAGCCCAGTGGGCGCTTTCCATCCCATCTGCTGCAGCAGATAGCTCCAAGTCGCGCTACGTGGCCAAGGAGGCTCCACTACCAGCTGAAGGCTTCCAGAAGAGCTCCCCTCCATTTTAGATGGCACAAGGGGGCACACAGCAAGCACAAGCCACCCTACCTAACACCCCGAGAGCTCTGCAGCTACTACTGAGAAGTCACATCTGTCCAAAACTGCCAAGTCAACACCTGCCCTCCCCCCTGCAGGAGCTCTGCGGGTAGGCTACACAAGCAGGTCTTTATTCTTTCTTAATTCCAGCTTAATAGCTAGGCCTGGAAGGCATGCATCGTTTCTTGGGCATTTTATAGCACGTAAATATCTAAGAAGCATAGGGATTACTGAATGCACACCTTTCTTGCTGAGCGTTTCATTGCCTCGCTCATGCGGGCCTCGTTAAACCAAATTTCATCCTGCTCCAACATCTCGTTTCAGCTCTGTCCTTGTTTCTCCATGCAGGCACGGCCAGCCAGAGAGACAAGAGAACAGCCTTTCACTTGATGGACACAGTGGATCAGCAGAATCCCCCCCAAAAATAAAATAAAATGAAATGAAATAGGCCACCAGAAAACCTAGCTGCCAGGTATGGAGAACGTAAGCTGGGTTTCTGCTCGGGCCACCAATGGTTTATGGCAATCGGAGCGGACTTGCAGCAGGTTTGATTTCCAACTTGTGCAAAATTGTTGGGTCTGGGCAGTGACCTCAGCCGCTTTTCGTGAAGGTATGGGGGAAATCAGAACTGCACGGGAAGGTGGGCTTTCAGAAGTGACTCATTTACACCAAAGAAAGCGCTAACCTGTACCCAGTTACGCTGCCTCTATGGACCTAACGCACTCAGCAGGGACTGGATTATATGAGAAAGAGACAAATCTATCCAAAAAGTGCCATCTTCTCCCTCCCGTCAGCGTATCAAACGATGTGCTCCCATTAACACCCCGTAACCACTCAAGAGAATGTGCTGTAAAAAGGCCAGTGGTTTTTTTTTTCTTTTGATAAATTACCAAAAAAGAGAAGCGAGGCGAGATGCCAAAGAAATAAGAATTCATAAGCTAAGTGCTAAAAGTGAATTAAAAAAGAACCGCAAGCAAACTGATTGCAAAAACGACTCAAGCCAATCTGATGGCTCGCTTTATAGGCAAGTCACAGAGCCACCATGCCCAGCCCGGAGCCGAGCACCCAGGTTCAGGACCGAAAGCAACCCGACGGCCGGGAATCACTCAACAAAGCGCGCGCACCGAGGTAGGCATGCGCGCTACCTGGCAATGGGCAGGCAAATGCTCCTCCGAATAGCTGAATGAGTATTTTGGTTAAGGTCAGATTAATTCCTAGCTCTCTTTGCAAATCAGAAAGCAATAGCGGGGAGGGGGGGGAAAAATCCCTCTCTGCTGTGGGTGAGCTCATTCCCTGAAAAAACTTAATGTCACTGTTGCTGTGGCAACTTTCAAATTGTAGGAGGGAGAATTGGCCAATTTTCCTTACATAAAAGCATCATGAGAATATTACAGCAGTGGGCTGTTCTTTATGACTCTGAAGTATCATCAAAAGCACTAGTTAAACCTTCCCGTTTCTAACAAAGGAGTTTTGAAGTTCACTTTGCTCCGGACTACGCTATGAGCGGACTTTGGCCAGGAGGTGAAGTAGGAAGAGGTCCCTCCCCACGGCCGCTGGAAGCTAGGGGAAATCATTTTCCAAAGGAAGGAAAACGCAGCACCGGCAAGGGCCTCTCTGAGCTTGGCTAACATCATGCTTCAGTCCCTCCGTTCTGCGTTTAGAGGCTACCTCTACCTGCAAGTATTCCCATCGGCATTTCTAAAAACACTTTTCAGTGCTTTGCAGGTGTAGAACATCACTGCGCATGGGCAAGGAAGGACACTTCTTCATCCAGAAGTTTCGGACTCTCTATGACCAGCTTGTTCCTTACCTTGGGTACCTAGAAAGAGTTCTGATGTCTGCAGCACAAAGCTTTTTCAGAGTGCTTCAGGAAACAAAACACAGAGGAGATTTTCTTTCCAAAGGTAGAACGGATCAAGCCAAGGCAGGTGCATGCTCATTTCTCTAGACGGCAGCTCCATCGAGGAGAGATGCACAAGCCTGCCTTGCTCCACCAGGCTCCGAGACAAGGGCTCAAGACACAAAGGCTTCGTCCCGGGGGCACGAGGGCTGGCGATGAGAGCAGCCTGGAGACAGCCAGGGCTGCAGAGCTCAAATACCTACTGCCTTGGTCCCTGACTGGCATGACTCGGCCAGAAATGGTCGATATTTCACACGATGACTAAAGGGTCTGTTGGGAAGAAGACAACTGCAACAAGCGCTATCAAAACAGGCTCTATTATTATCACTCATTTTAATGGCACAGCTAAATCATGAGTTCAAGAGGCTTTGTAAGAAGGTACATGAGCTCTGCAGTTAATTTGCTGCACTAGAGGAGAGAAGTGACCACTGAGAACCGCAATAAATAGAAATTCTTAAGCAACCACTTAATGTCTCCCTCCCTTACGCTATTAGCACACTGTAGCCTTTATACTTACTGTCCAGCATGTCAGATACATGCTGTAATTAACAAAAAATACAACCGGAGCTTGCTTAATGCATCAGTATTCTGCAACCACAAGCGAAACAGCATCTCATGTAGGAGATGTACAGAGTCAGCAGTGGCACTGTAAATTCATCCTTACTAATAGGCTACATCGCAATGCAAAAAGACCCAGATGATTCACAGAGCACCAGCAAAAGCCTGCGAACAGGAGGTCACAGTCGTACGTATCCAGGACTTCTTATTCTACACCTACTGGCAACGCAGCTAGGAGCTGCACGTTCAGCCGCAAGCACAAGGAGCGTTTCTGCAGCGCGCTGAGGTTCAGAGCAGGCTGCACTGCTCCCAGAAATGAACGTACTTCAGACACAAGTTGTTTCACAACTGTACCATGGAGTATGAGGGTCTCCACAGAGGTTTCTGAATGTTACAGAAACGTGCGTTTCCTGAGAATCTGCCATGAAGAGGCAGAAGGCTCGGGATGATCTGCAGACCTCACCCTCCTGCCCTTGTCAGAAGTATCTGTCCCAAATTTACTCCAACAAAACTTTCTTGATGCTCCTCTGTGTGATCAAGTGCTCTCAATTTACAAAATCAATACATTAACTTTGATAACGAGACTCTAATCATCGTTTGCCACCTCAAAACAAGCAGAGCAGATGGGGAGCTGTATTTCCATCATGTTCCATCTTCCACCACAGCCACTGATAAAAGCAAAGCGAAGTTCTGGTGGGAAGTGTGAACATTTCTGAGTGGCTGAAACCCGGCTCCATCTGCTCGAGCAGACGGGGCACAACGATGCAGTCAGAATGACAAAGTAGCCGTGGCAGGGGAACAGCTTCAGAGCGGCACACGTACCTCTGGGCCAGCGTATCACACGGCGAGCCTTTCCTCTTCCGTGAATCGGGGTTGGCAGGGTCCGTTGAACTGTCCCCAAGGCCACTCATGTTGACCTACTTTGCACCTGCAAACCAAAGAGAGCCAGAGTTAAGTACAAGCTTTCTGCAGCTACCGAATGATTGATGCATACGCGGCGGTGCCAGAAAACGCAGAGCGAGCGACCTTTGAAGAGGTAACTAATCCGACGCAAGTCATCCTTATTTGTGGAAGGTCTTCTTCCAGGAGAGCTCATCAGAACTTAAGTGCTCGAATTTCTGCCTCGTTTCAGCAGTTTACGAAGGAAACGGTGCAAAGAGAAGACGACAACTGATCACGCCACCCTCCTTTTGGTTTCCCTCCGTCACCCTGCTGCCAAGCAAGCCCTCGCCACCGACACCCTCGTCTTTACGTTACAGATCGAGCTCTTCCCTTCCCCGTTTCCCCAGCTTTCAGCTTCCCGGCCTTACATCACTTCAATTGCTGTTCTGCAGTTTTCTCCCATGCCCCGAACGGCACCCATCTCTCAAAACACGGCCCGATTGGAAGCGCTCAAAAAGGCAGCCTCAGCGCTCTGTTTACATGCAAGCGCTGTGATTTCTTTTGTTTTGTTTCATTTTCCTGCAAGCGTGCGCTTTTCCCCAATCTGCGGCTTCTCTCTCCTCTCCTCCGGGCTCCTCTGACTCACGGCTCTCTAAGGACGCTCCACCCCGCGCGTTGCGTCTGCGCGCCCGCTGCCCCCACCACCTCCGCGGCCCGCGGCTCG